AGTCCAACACATGAGCTGTACACCTGGGAAGCACATCCAAAAACAAATCAGTTGTGCTGTGTCAGCTGCTTTATATATTTTGTTTCTAGCACTCCTAGTCAACAGCACTTCTAGCAAGAAAGAATAAACTCCAGAACAGTTCTGCTTTGCTCTGTTCAGAAAAATAATATCCCCCCTAAACATCCACCTAAGCTCTGTTTACACCAAACCTGCTGCAGCCCTCAATGGTAGCAATAAATGGAGTGAGCTAATGTGTTAGTGACAAATAATCCGTTCAAACGATTCAAGCATAATTATAGGCTGGCTCTCCTGATGTAACATTGGGTACATCACTGCAGATATTACAGTCACCTTATGAAAAGATTGCACAGAGAAGCTCGGTTGGTAACCCAAACAGCATTATACATCACAAGCCTGTCAGCATCAGGAGTGCATGCACCCTGGCATTTGAAATCGTGGTGTTTTAAGTGATAATCCAATGTACCAGGCATCATTGATCTCTATATAAAAGGGGGCACCACTTTTCCTTTCAACTGGAGCTATTTTTCACTTCTCATCCTGAAGAGTTGTGTGGTGCTGCCCGCAAGTGGCTACATGGCCACAGCAGCTCTATCTGTAGAGCTCCGGGTCCCTTGAGAGAAAAAATGATCAATACTCCAACACTGCTTTTATAAGAGGTCTCTAAGTGCTTCCATGCTAGATGCTGCTCCTCTGGGTTTAGAAATTACTCTGAAGAGAACATGAAAGCCCACACTGCAAATTCATAATCCTGACACAAACCCCAGCTGCAGCAAGGAATTAAAATGAAATTCATTGGCAAGTTGGTCTGTCGGCAAAGGCAGTGTCTGTGTGATGTGAGAAGGGACCTCAAGAGGAGACTAATACCTGAAGGCTAGAGGAGAACCAGCCAGGCACAAGGAAGCATCACAAAGCCCTATAAATACAGCCCGTGTAACAAGATGCATCTTGACAGGGATTTATAGCTCCTCAGTGGGTCTGGGATGGCAGGGACCCTGAGTGCTGCATCATCTGAGACAGGTGACAGTAATCAGGGAGTCTTGGGAGGAAAGACAAAGGCGTTTGAAGGGCCAGACTTGCTGTGGGTAGGTGAGCAGAGCCTAGGAGGTCTCCAGAGAAGTGACAGTGAATGCAGAAAATAGTCTGGATCCCCTATGTTTTGGATATAGCCAAAAGATACCAAACGTCTCAAGATTAATTTCTTCCAGGGGAATCTCAAGTTGGCTTTGGCTCTTCCTGCACATGGACTGGAAGAAATCTTTCATCATCATTTGTAACCTTTATTAATCTCATTCTTGCTGCTGCCTGGCAGCCCACAAGAGTAGGACCAGCCATGCAGGCCCAGGTACCATTTTCCTAGATCAGGGACCAGTGAGCACATGTTGTATGATGGGACCCATGAGCCATGCTGGATGTCAGCAGCCTTGATGGTCTTTTACTGCCTGGCTGGGTTTTGCAATTGGATCCTGTGCAGGGCCAGAGAAACCTACCCCGTGCAGAGGCAGTGGCAGAGAGCCAGTCCTGCCCTCGACACCCGACTTGTGCCACAGCTGGACGGCTGATAATATGCTCTGGTTCCAGCTGTCACCCAGCACACATCACCGGCCATCCCTGTGTCACGGCACAGCGCTGCTGGCGCAGGACAGCCATCCTGCAGCAGCCTGGTACTCTATCGATTATCCCCATTAGGGAGAACTGAAATAACACGGCTTAAAAATGAGAAAGTGAACTACTTGCTTCTGTGTGGGATCAAACCATTTCATATGGGGCCAGGAAGAGTCGACGGGCTGGCAAGGACTGGTAGCCAACGGAACAAGTGTTTGGGTCTGAGCAGGGAAAAAAGGGGAGAAGGGGTGTCCCCTGGTCTCACCCCTGTGACTGCAGGGGCAGTCACAGCCTCCTCCTCCATATGGCTCCAAGGACAGCACCTGGATCGCTACTGGGACTATCAAATCCATTCGGATACCAATAGATTGTAGCAGGGGTGGAAGGGCGAGCAGTTGCCTGCTCAGCACCTCTTCTGCTCTCCATCCAAGGCGCCGCTGAGTCTGCTCTCCCCAAAGTGCTCGGGCCCCAGGTCCGATAGTGGAGCGGGCACCTGGAGAGCGCTGTGCCTGCGAATGCTGCTGCTGCTGCCGGCACTGGGAAAAATTTCTCAGCAGGGTTTTATCATTTCAAAAGGAACAAATTCCAACTGATTGCCCTTGTAAGAGCCTGCATGGTATTTGCTCTTCTAGTCCAAGCAATAGAAATTTTAATTGCTCTGGTAATTACACTTCCAGCAATACTGCCGTCCTTTGAGCTGCAAGTGGGCGGCCAATATCTGCTGTTCTCCGGTGGCCCCGTCTGGCTGCAGCTTGGAACAGCATTTGCCACTTGGAGGGGAAGGGACACTCCTCCAGTGACCAGGGTGACACGGAGCCTTGCCACGCACACAGATCTCCGTGGCACCGGGCACACTCCCCAGACCAGAATGGGTTCCCATCGACCAGGATCACCTCAGCTTCCTCCCGTTAAAGCTGCTGCTCAAGAGCTTCACACGCCAGTGCTCCTGCCATGAGTCTGTCCCTGGCACAGGTCCCAACCCCAATGCTCTGCCAAGGATGCTGGGCTCCAGAGTGCACATTTCCAGTCTTTCCCATGCATGAGCTTGCAGTGTGTCACCAGCATTTCTTCTCTGGGCTGTAAACAGCTCCAAAACATGGTGCAGAGACAATGGCATTGTTTTAACTTCTAGACACAGCTTTACAAGGATGCAGAAGAGCTGTTATCCTCTTGGATCCTGATGAGTACCGTCAAAGCCTGACTAGGCTTGGGAAAACAGAAAGCCTACAATTTACCCTGAGAAATTGCTAAGGAAAAATTACCACAACAACTGCTATGCTATTGTATGGATAAAAAATTAACCCTATTAAAGGCCCAGTGCCTGAAAAGTGTGGTCTCTGCTTGGCTGAGCTGGAGCCATGTCTGGTGCTTCACTACACTATTCAAACGCATCACTCTGTTGCCAATAAAGCTGCAGCACACGTGAGCTCCTCCAAAATCACCCAGGGTACAACCAGAGCTGAGCACGTGTTTAGCTCAGGGGTACTTTACCTGCAAGAATACATCACCTGCAGCACAGACATTCATGCTTCAGTTCACTGACCAAGGACTGTCAGAGGTACTGGGCTGCAGGCACAGGGTTTAGGGGGAAAAGCACGTGTGCAAACCTAGTGGGACTCTCCCTGGGAAATGAGATCCTGCTCCCCTCAGGTTGGTCAAGTATGCTACAAAATACAAAGCATGGGGCCCTGCAGGGAGGTATAACTGCAGTTTGGATCTGTCAGACACACGCAAAATCTGGGTTTACTTGCAATCTCACTCATTCTGCCTGCACTGCATTTTTGTCACCCATGATCACGGCTGGCATGGCTCAGGGGGGCTCAGCTCTCATGCTTGCCAGAAACGCAGGTCACAGCCATATCTCTCTAAATCAAGAGCTGCCAACATGCTGCAGCTACTTTTGTCACATGCCGGATCACTCACAGCTAAAAGCAAGGTTTCCAAGTGGAATCGCTATTGGCCTTAGAGGTTAAACGAAAAAGCTCCACTCCCATCCCCAGTTTCCTCAAACAATGGCACAAAACACCCACGGGAGCCTGAGGAGAGGAGGGTCTGTGGTAGAAAAACCCTCGGCTCCTGATTTTTAAGATATACACCACACAATTAGAAACACTGGGTCTATAAACATCCTTAACAAACCCTGATAGGTCTGGGGATTTTCTTTTCCTCGCTGTCCATTGTGTGTTGCCGCCTTAAAAAACCTCAAAACCAAACGCTCTTC